CCCCAGCCAGTCAGAAAGCTGGGGATGGACTTTTTACCAGGGCCTGTTGTGACAGGACAAGGAGTGATGGTTTGAAACTGAAAGAAAGGAGATCTAGACTCAATATAAGGAAGACATTTTTGATGGCAGCCCTGGCCCAGGTTGCCCAGAGCGGTGATCAATGCCCTGTCTCTGGGAACACTGAAGGGCAGGTTGGATGAGGCTCCAAGCAACCTGCTTTAGCTGCAGATGTCCCTGCTCAGTGCAGAGGAGTTGGAGTAGGTGACTTCGAAGGTCCCCTCCCACCCAAAGCAGCCTGTGACTTGATGATGAGCGTGTGGGGTCCGAGCCCGGCGGCTCTGGCCGTGTCCCCTCTGCCGCTCACCGTGCCGCTCACCGTCCTGTGGGGCTGACAGGCAGCGGCACGGCCAGCCCCAGCTTCTGTTCTCCCACCGCCTTGGCTGAGCACGGTGTTGACATTTGAAACTTCCCAACACAAATAAGTTTTATTAAGAAATGCTGTGAATCGTCCCCCGCTGCCCCCCTGCCCCGCAGGCTGGCGGCAGCGCGGTGTGTGACGTCGAGGGGACCCTCTGGAGAGGGCGTGGGCGCTGCTCAGAGCATCCCCCAGACTGAGGCAGCAGGAAGCCTTCACTCGGGAGAGGTTAATGCTGGAGGAAGATCTAATGAGCATTTGATTTTTTGTTTATTTGGGTTTGGGGCTTTTTTTTTGCATGTGTTACGAAACACCTACAATTTGTCCTTGTCAAGCTGTGGATGAGGGGAAGAGGGGTCAGCTGGAGTCAGACAACAGATGGAAACATTTTTCCAGGAATACAATAGCATAAGTGAAGGAATTGTTGAGTAATGTGGGAAGAATAAATCCTCAGCATAAAAATCAGCTTGCATATACATGCAGTATATTGCTGAATGTTTCCAGGCTGGATTCTACCCCTGCTTTCAGGTTTTTGCTTTTGATACTGCAAATGTGAGAGCAGACTCCAATTATATACATCTCCAGTGTGCAAGCAGTTAATAAACCCATACCCATCTCTTCATAATACAGACAAATGACACACAAATTAAAAAATAATTCAAAGAAGAGGCACCATGGATTTCTTTTGTGTTTCCAAGAGGGGGAAAAAAGTGTTGTGAGCAGGCTCTGTCGCTTGGCTGTATTCCTGCAATGCCTTGTCATTGGGTTTGAAAATAAACTGCTGTGGGATCTGGTGCCACAGCCTGGTGCCCATTTCCCGTTTCCCCTGCAGCATTAGCCACGCTACATATTGCAGCAGCAGATTGCAGTTACCCCAGGCTTCCGTTTGCTGCCCGAGCCAGCTGAGGCGGCT